CTTTTTCTTTCTTTCTTTCTTTCTTTCTTTCTTTCTTTCTTTCTTTCTTTCTTTCTTTCTTTCTTTCTTTCTTTCTTTCCTTCTTTTCCTTTTTCCTTTTCTTTTTTGATTTAATGAATGAATGAGAAGTGATAGAAGATTTTAGCATGTACCTATTCTGTTCTGTTATGGAGGAAGCACAGCCTTAGGACAAAGAGATAAGACACCTTATTGTGTAAAACTAGTCCCTTCATTCTGGCTATGAGTGGTTCTGGACAGTGCCTAGTGAAAACCCCTGGAAGAATGGACTGTTCTCAAGGCCTATGGAGGAAAAGATGTTATAAGCCATTCTTTCATATTCTTTGGCAAGCTGAGGCCTACCTAGACTGTATATATATATATATATATATACACACACACACACACAGAGATTTTTGCTATAAGGGGCGTGTTCTTTGCAGAGAGACAGAGAGAGAGAGAAAGTGAGAAATAACCCCCCAGGGGGAATGGCCACACCACAATCACTTCTCCATTCTCCTTGGGATTTTGGACAAGCATGGACACATGCCCAGTGTGAGTTTTAAGCTCCAGGGTCCTGGACTGTAGTCAACTAAGTGGGAGTCCACTATGCCATCTACTGGTCCCCTGCCTGGAAATCTTAATGTGAGTAGACTAAATGCCAGGGCTCCAGGACTGTAGTCTTTTTTTTTTTTTTTTGGAGAGGTTTTTGCTATAGGGTGCATGCGCTCACCAGGAAGACAGAGAGAGACAGAGAGACAGAAAGCGAGAAATCACCTCCCAGGGGGGATGGCCACATCGCAATCCCTTCTCCTCCTTTCTCCTCTCGGGATGTTGGGCACACATGCACATATGCCTGGCGTGAGTATAAGCCACCGTGTCTGGGACGTGAACCGTGGTTGACTATGTGGGAGTCCAGCGACATAGCCATTACGCTAACTGCTTGGTCCGCAGGACTGTAGTCTTTTGCAACTGATTAATCAAATGATCTTTGACATCTGTTTGATTTCTTATTTCCTATTCTTCCTTTTTTGTTAAATGGGTAGTAAAGTAAATAATTCCTTTGCCAGCTGCTTTTGAAGGTAATTATATAAATTAAAAAGTAGTGATAGGGGAGGTTGGGGTGATCAGGCCCAATACCAGTGCCAAATCCAGAGCCTTAATCTAACCAGATTCTTACACATGTGAAGAATTAGAGATGAGGACACAGAGAGGGGATGGCAAAGTGGACTTTATTAAGAAAGGAAAGGAGGAACAGAGCTGCCAAGTAGGGAGAGGGTTCCGGGAATGGGTTGCCCTTGAAGACTAAAAGGGCTAATTATATGGGACCTACCAAGAAAGAAAAACTACTTTTCTTGTAGGAGATATCACCACTAGTCCTGGAATTTGTTTTTGTGACATCATGGATCTTGGGTTGTTAATCCTAGTCTTTGAGTTCCTCAGACCTTAAAGAAGGTGTCTCTTCTGTTCTTGTTAATGATTTATGTCAGTGTGCTCTCTGTCTGTTCCTAGCCCTATGAGTAAGGAAGTCTTTAGAAACATGTGAAAGGGGAGTATAGTGTATATTAACC